GGCCTCATATACCCGTTCCAGGAAAGCAGAAGGATTTTTCTTGGGGCCCTGCTGTACCTCCTGAAGCTTGTGAACACTGATTTGCTGTAGAGCCCCCTTTTGAAGCCTTACAATAATGCATTATGCCATATGGCCCAGCTTAGCCCTTCCTGTGGGTCATTTGGATCCCATTCCAGATCTGCTCCCCGCACTGCCTGATTGCTGGGGCCTCTCACTGGGTTTTGAGGCTGATGGTTGTGAAGCTTGTCAGCCTCCTGTTTAGGCTTTTCTAATATCATCCATGTCTCTTCAGGGGTGAGCAGGGTGGTTAACAACACATTAGTATCTATCAGCCCAGTTGGGATGGTGAACTGCGGATATGGAAGTGATTCAAGTCTCCATCCACTTCAGATCCTCCCTCTAAGTGGGCATTATATTTTTCCAATTTAATAAGTCATCTATGGTGAATGGAACATGGGTCCAAACAAAACCTCAAGGATTCCCTTGATGATCTAAGCCAGATGGAACCTGTCATAATAATGCCCTGATGGGCCTGGTTCAACCCCTGACCAAGTTGTACACCACTCTGGGTGTATGCAGAGGATATAGTTTCCTGAGTGGCACCTGGGTGCTAATGGGTAAAGGTGGGTATAACACAACCAGAGCTTTAGGAGCTTCTAAATTTAAAGCTTCCCTAGGGTTAGATGGTGGCATCACCAATCAGGTGCTTTTCAACGCCAGGAGGTATGGAGGGAGAGCAGACAGAGGAGGAAAGAGGTCAAGACAAGGGTCCTCAGAGTCCTGGAGGACTTCTTTAAAGTCAACTTTCCCTTTAGATTATACAACCATCAATTTGTACTGCCTCTGTTAATTCTTTTTCTGGTATGAAGACATAAAAGCCTGCACATAGAATATCTTATCCCATTTCTCTTCCCTCTTGCAAAACAAATCTAACTGCAAAATAGCATCATAGCTCAAACTCCCATTCCCCAGCCATTTTCTACCAAACTCAAGTTGGTACTGAGGTCAGGCAGTGTTACAAAAATATCACTTTCTTTCTCTTCCTAGGTTCAAGTTCATGGCTAAAATGAACCCAATTTTTCAGGACACAGCAAGGGGGCTGCAGTCTGGTACTGAATTTAGGTAACCATTTTCATTCACACGCCATGTTCACCGTCACTTAAAACTCTTCACACCAGTGCCACACACACACACACACACACAAAGTAAACCAAGACTGAACTAGACCATGAAATATCTCATGGAGATATTTCTCAACCTTCCAGACAGTGATTAGAAAACTAGACTGGAGTCCAAAGCTTAAGAAACCCCAGGGCTACAAAAGTGGTCTTGGCTAAACCTCAATCTCACAGTCAGCTCCCTTTATGTGTTCTGAAGAATTAGCTTGCACTCACTCAGGAGACATCTTCAAACCCAGAATAGTTTCTTTTCTCTCAAGATACAAATGTGCCTAGGGCTGAGGGCTTTATGGACAGGGGCTTGGCACCCTGTATGTACCTCCAGACATAGCAGAGTCTAGGTGCACACTGAGGTCTGTCTGAAGTCCATCTCCACCATCCAAGGGCCCTCATGCTCCAGGCATGGGTCAGAGGGACCTCGGACCCATCTGCATAGCCATTTGCTACCATACTAAAGCGAGTCCCTGCCCAGTGTGTGGTCAAGCTGAATCAGTTCACACACATCCAATACTTGAGATATGAGAAAGATAATTTATTACCATGTACATGGTAGGAGACAGGGGCTGTACCAAATCTGGCTTCCTGAGTTGGGGTTGGGTTACAATTTTTGTCAGGCTCAAGAAAGGGGGCTATACATATTATATAAACTTCAGGAATTTGGATATGGATTGGCTGGGGATGGGCTGAAGTTTCGTTTGCTTTGGTTAAAAAGGACAATTTTTAATGCAGTGCACTTGCACACAAGATGAGTTACACTGACTTCCTGTCACTGGCTGATCAGGGCTTGGGCCGAGGGGAAGATGTTAGTTCCAAGCAACTTTATTCTGTTTCTCCCAATGTGCATGTCCACCGGTCAAAAGTGATCTGAACTGGTTTTAATTGATTTCAAGTTGGTCTTGGCTGGATTTCTGAAAAACAATTTTAAAGAGATGAATTATGCCCACTCATCTTTTTCCAAGTGGGATGGAGAATGGTTACAGAAAGGTTTGGGAAATGAGTTCAACTTGGCTTTGATCTATCTGGACCTGACAGCAGTTTGCCTTCAAGGTACCTGCTCACACCTTTGAGACAAGAGATTGCTCAATTTAAGATGAGACCACTCCAAGATGAATCTCAGTACAAGTTTATGAGAACTGACTGGTGCTTCATAGAGGGGATTATGAGGATAAAAATTTTTGCTTTGTTAGACCTGACTCCATATGGTTAAAATAAGACTCCATATTTTCAGTTGAAGTGCCATTTCTTTCTTTCTTTTTTAAAATTTTTAGTGATTTGGGTGAAAGTTTACAGAGCAAATTCATTTTCCATACAGCAGTTCACATATACTTTGTCTCATGATATTGACTGCAGTCTCCCACAATGCAACAGCTCCTCTTCCACTTCCTCCCCATAGCCACCTCCTCTCTGTGTCCTTCCTTCCCATGCACTCCTGCCCCCTGAGCTGTCTCCCTGTGCATACACAGCCCTTCTACTCTCCCATGATTGATCTCTCCAAGGAGTATATCAACCTAATGTAAATGTTCAGCTCATATGCTTGTCTTTTGTTTGGTGGAAGCCATAGGAGTGGGTTCAATTCCAGACCTGAAAGGCAGCTAGAGGCTGCCCCATAGTCTCAGGGGTTCCACTAGGCTCTATCAGACCAGCAAACTTGATCCCCCCTTTTTTTCTCTCTCTCATGATTTTGAGTTTTGTTCCACATTGTTCTCCCACTCTATCCAGAATCTCCTACATAGATCCCCCTCTGAGTGATAAAAAAAGAAATGCCATTTCTTTAAATACTGGTTTCAATCTTGTGTTGTAATTAACTTGTTCTCTCTCTAAGATATGGTTATCAGTTCCTGCTGCACCCTGTGATCTAAGCCAGGGCCATCTTTGTCAACAAAGTCTCCTGGACTGGACTTTGGGACCAGGCACATGGACTTTGACAAACACCAATGTAACCTCTTAAGGATTACCTGACTGCCAGGAACTCACAGGAAACATTCCTTTGTTAATTACCCATTGCCCTATCTAACATTTAGAAATTTGTTAACTAATCCTACATAGGGGAGCTCTGGTACCGCAGTGCCTAAGGCACTTGACTGCTAGCCAGAAGGCTGGCCGTTCAAACCCACCAGCCACTCCTCGGAAGGAAGGTTGGGCAATCTACTTCCGCAGGGATACCGCCTCGGAAACCCAAGGAGGGTCGCTGTGAGTCATATCTGACTCGACAACACATAACAACAACAACAACAACAACAACAATCCTACATACACGCAGTGTCTCTTTTACCTTTAATATAAGAATCCCTGATTCTAAGTGCTGAGCAGAGTGATCATTTTGGGAGTCGTTGAGACCCCATCTATCTCTCATTGGTGTCCCTTCTAATGAAAATTCTCTTTTTCTCCTTGAACTCTGCTGTGAACTATTGGCTGTGGTCCAGGGCCAGACCCCAGCATTTTTTGGGTAACAAAGAAAGAACCCTGTGTGATAGCATTTGCTTTCTTCCTTGGTTACCTTGGCTAGGCTCTAGATAAAGGTTTCTTTATGGAACCCTTGTGCAGCAAAAAGAAAAGTAATATTTTATTAGTTGTTGCCAAATTATTCCTTGGGGGACCAAATGTGTTTCTTTAGGAAAGAGGCTTCCTAACTCACTTAGTGATCATTAGGGACTCAGCAGGAGAGAGAGAGAGAGAGAAAAAAAAAAAAAAAAAAAACTAGATAACTGCTTCTTATTAAGAATTTGAGGGCAAGGAAACCGAGGAGAGAGACAAAGTTGTGCAATAAGGTGAGAGGCTAGCGCACTCTTGGACAGAAGAGAAGAAAAGCTTAATATTCTGATTTAAATGATCTGCTGAATCATGCTGTGATATAAACCTCCCTTGCTTATATCCCTGAATAGGCAGTAAAAGTCTGCTTTCTTTTCAAAGTGGCGTTGCGGGCTGTGGGCTTCAAAAGTTAGAACTGGTCCCACCTATGAGTTGCTGCTGTGCTGGAGACAACACAACAGCGTTCGGCTCACAAGGCAGCGAATGAGAGCCCAGGAGAATGAGAGCTATCAGTGGTCAGTGGACGTAAGCCCCTGAAGTTACAGTCACCTTCCTGGAGAATGTGGATAGGGGCTTAAATAAATCTCATTGAAATATTAGAGGACATTGAGTTATATATGATTAGAAGGCCGGAGTTTCTGGCTGTGACTGTAGACATTCATAAGTTACAGGCCCTTAAAGTTTCCCAACGTTAGCAGAGAATATGGAATAACAGAAAAAGATGAACTGAGTCACTAAGACAGGAAGGAACATTGTCTTCAACAGGATTGCCAAGAGCAGTTAATATCTGTTGAGCAGGGCATGGAGTGGCACTATTTTACTAGAGGTTTCTTCTGGCTGATTCTGGAACCAAGCCCATAAAATTGAGGTGCCAACACCAGAGAATTTTGGTGAGGATGCAATGTCAGGAGTTCCTCAGACAATATGACCAGCCATTGCCCTTAAAGATTCTTCAGTAGCCTCTAATTGATCTTGGACATAAAGTCCCACTCACTGAATGTTAGGAAGAAGGTACAATCATAGGGTTTCCTTTGCAGGTGAGCCAGGTAACTTCATAACTCTGTAAAGTAGAGAATCAAGCATAATCTAGATTTTTCTAAGTGAGAAGAGACATAAATGGAAGGGTAGGAGGTACAGGCAGTGCTTGGAATGGCCAACTCACTGAGCACTCCAGCTCTGGTTCATTGGAAGGCAATCTTCAAATTGATGAGGGAAAGGGTTAGGAGCTGGGTTGGGAGCGGTGGCCAGAACACAACTGTCTAGAATCAGGTTTCTATTTCTAACATGTGAGAGTTATCCTTCCCTGAAGGTGAGATATCCACCCTGGAAGCAGATCATCATGACAGAGAAGGAAAAAAGACGGTCATCAGCACACGTCTTACCTGCTTCTTTTACCTGCTCTTTTGTTTCCACCACTGTGAAATTATCAGTTGGTTCCTTGTGTCTTCTGATGCCCTTTAACGTTAGGAAGCTGTTAGAACAAGAAGATTTGTGCTTCCAGCTCCTCCACTGTCCCCTCAGAGATAGAAATACAAGTTCCACAAAGGTGAACGAGAGACAGAGTGCACTGACCCCAAACATGGTCTTTAGGAAGATGGTCTTCTCAGAGGGGCGAGATAAATTGCAGGTTATACTGCCAAGGCAAGGCTCTCTACGACACGCAAAGGAACTGGGCATCTTGAAGCCGTACAGGTAATACTGACTCCCCAGGGCCAGCCCCTCAAGGACCAGTCGAACACCCATATGTGCCACATAGGCCCAGAGCAACCTGGGACCTCCAGCCCCTGAGGCATCTCTGCTGTTGTTCCCTTCTTGGATCAGGGTCTCCTCCTCCTTCTTCACATTTCCTGAGTCTTCCCAAAGCCAAATCATGCGATACAGAGTGAAACCCATGTAGAGGACACTGGGCACAGCCACCAAGGTGACCTGGAAGGCCCAGAAGCGCAACGGGGAGAGGGGGTGGAAGGCATCGTAGCAGGCGGCCTTGCAACCTGGTTGCTGGGTGTTACACACGAATTCACTCTGCTCATCGCCATAGACCCCAGTCCCGTTGGCAGCCAGCAGCAGGAGGCGGAATCCCAGGAGCACAGGAAGCAGAAGCCGGCCCACGGGGGTGGAGTGCCGGCTCTCCTCGGCCAACAGCTGCCTCAGGAACCTGCCGCACATGTTTCTGTGGAGCAGAGAACGACGATAATTGGATGCATGTTGCTCACTGGCCAGCAGAGAGCGCTCCAGGCCTCCTCGTCACGCCTAATTCAAGGATGGGCGTTTTGGTTCTCTCCAAGGTTGATCAAATGCCAGATTGCACCTCTGGTGGTATAGGAGCTCTGGTGCCATAGTGCCTAAGGCATTTGACTACTAACCAGAAGGCTTATGGTTCAAACCCACCAGGCACTCCTTGGAAGGAAGATTAGGCAATCTACTATCCATAGATATGGGAGCTCTGGTAGTATAGTGCCTGAGGCATTTGATTGCTAACCAGAAGGCTGGGGGTTCAAAACCACTAGCCACTCCTCAGAAGGAAGGTTGGACAAGCTACTTTTGTAGTGATACTGCCTTGGAAACCCAAGGAGGGGTCGCTATGAGTCCAATCAACTAGACGGCAGAGGTTTCTTGTGGCCTAGAGTCTAAGGCATTTGATTGCTAACCAGAAGGCTGGCGGTTCAACCCCACCAGCCACTCCTGGAAAGAAGGTTGAGCAATCAACTTCCATAGTGATACTGCCTGGGAAACCCAAGGAGGGGCCCCTATGAGTCGGGTCCAACTGGAATAGTAACAATGAGTGCATGTGAGTGTGGCTCTCTGCCTTTCCCTTCAGTATAGCTAGAGTGGAGAGCGTCTCAGCACCTCAGCGTGGAAGGGGACTAGAGTCTGTCTTTATTTATCTGGGTCTTCCTCCCTGCCTCTCACCCTCTCCCAAAAGCTAAATAGTAAGAGACCGAAGTGGCAGGTTTATTACTCATCCCTTTGAAAAAGCAACACTTATTGCTTCCCCAGAAAATGACTGCAAGGTCTGGGGCTACAGCCAGCTTCAGCTGAACCAAATCAGTGCTGACAGTGGGAGGAAATGTGTTTCTGCCGTTTCCTCTGGTTCCATGCCCTCGGGTGTTCACAGGTGTGCTGGGATAGCCCAAACTACCATCACAGTGGTGAGATTGAGATGGGTTAGTTTAGGGGCCTACTTCCATAGTGATACTGCCTCGGCAACGCAAGGAGGGGTCGCTATGAGTCAGGACCGACTCGACGGCACACAACAACAACAACAACAACAAGTGGGGAATGGAGATAGACTGAACACAGTGAGTCTCGGGCTCGTTTTAATCTAATGCTCTTTGTTGTTGTTATGTGCCAAGTTGGACCCAACTCATAGCGACCCCTCCTTGGGTTTCTGAGGTGGTATCACCACGGAAGTAGATTGTTCAACCTTCCTTCCGAGGAGTGGCTGGCGGATTTGAACTGCCAGCCTTCTGGTTAGCAGTCAGATGCCTTAGGCACTATGCCATCTCCAGCCATTGCTAAATGTTCCCTTCGAAGAGGATTCACTTCTTGAGGATCACTGCTTTAGGGTAGCACTGGTTCATGGCTTTTCCGCTCTTGGCCGTATTTACTTGCTCTGTAAAGCAAGACATCTGTAGAAGATCATCTCACAGGGGTTTCCTAGCCTTCATTTGGTGGGGCCATGACAGTCTCCCACATCCTTCCCTTCCAGGCTGCTGGCACATCTCTCAACGAGCTCCACTCCTAAGGCTGTCTGCAGTCCTGCCAGCCTCGTAAATCCTGGACTTAGAGGAGGCAAACTCGGGGCTCCGAGGGCTCCTGACCTGGCTATCCTGAAGAGTCAGCAGACTAAATGCTAATTTAGTAAATTCACTTCTCTTATTCAAAGATCAGACCATGTACTCTCGGAACACATTTCCCGCACATTCCCAGCAGACCTGGACTTTACCGGAGTAGACCTGGTATATTTCAAGTGTCAGGAATTGGAGTAGCTATCAGAGGCTTTATCTCTGGTTCCTCTCTCTGTTTCCTGTACCCATCCCAAGCCCCTAGCCAGACACCCAAATGCTTTCTGAGAGGCTCTCAGAACTGAGCTGAGGTCTCCAGAGCTCCAGGCAAAAAAGCAAGACAAAAGGACTCGCTAAGGAAACACTTGGTTTAAAAAAACCAAACACACTGCGTGGAGTCGGATCCGACTCATAGGGACCCCTCCTTGGGTTTCCCAGGCAGTATCACTGCGGAAGCAGATTGCCCAACCTTCCTTCCGAGGAGTGGCTGGTGGGTTTGAACTGCCAGCCTTCTGGTTAGCAGTCAAATGCTTTGGGCACTACGCCACCAGAGCCTTCAAACGTAATTCTTCTTTGTCCTTTGCCCTGTGGCTGTTATCTCCAAAACAACACTTATTCTGCACACATTCAGGGACCTCAAGAAGCTGAACTTCAGGATTAAGGGAACTGAGGAGAAAAAGAAAGGAGAGATGCTTCTAAAGCCTCAGGGTCGGGAATTGTTGACAAAGCTTGATTTAAGGAGGAAGGGCTCTGTTAGGAGTGGAGAAGCAGTTTGCAAATGAATTTGTTCAGGAGGGACTTGGCAGTGCCTCAGCTCGAGAACTGGGAGAATGAGGAAAGCCCAGAGATTGTCAAATTTGCCAAGTTTTTTAAATATTCAAAAAAAATTAATTCCAACAGGACTTTAGTAAGAGTTTTTCCAAGCATCTCTTATTTTTTGAGAGAATTTTCAGGATTCCATTGGTGGCAGATCCATCTCAGAGAATTAAGGTGTGAAGGAAGAAATGTCCACTGAGGAAGACCCAATGGTACTGGACCCAGGCTCTTTGCTCCACTCTCAGCCCACCCGGCCTGGAGAACATTCTAGATTCTTTTGCTCAAAGTACGGTCTGTGGACCACCCGCACTGGCATCACCAGCAACGCAGACTGTCAGGCCACATCCCAGACTTACTAAGTTATGTCTGAATGTTAATAATCTCTCCAGATGATTCGTGTGTGTAGTCAAGTTTGAGAAGCGCTCTCTAAAGCCTAACGCAGCTCCCCCCCATCGCCAGGCCCCGTGCTGTCCTAGCTGCCCTCTATCCATGCACGTGCACTCACCTGAAAACCTGGAGCAGAAGCACCCACAACAGAGAGAGAAGAATCCTCAGGCCGGAGCTCGGCAGAGCCCCATCTCTTCTGAGGCCCTGCCTCTGACCACCACCCACTTCTTCTCCCTCCCCTTTTCATTCCTGGCACTCTTGCTATCGCGTGCCATGAGTCAATTCCAACTCACAGCAACTTCATAGGACAGAGTAGAACTGCCCCATAGGGTTTCCTAGACTGAAATCTTTACAGGAACAACTCGCTAGGTCTTTTCTCTCTGAGCCATTTGTGGGCTTGAGACCTCACCTTTTCTGTTAGCAGCCAAGTGCTTTAACCATTGTGCCACCAGGGATCCTTAGTGAAGGGTGAAAGAATGCAGCTGGATAACCAGGCAGCTCTGCTGTTAAAAAATTAAGCCTGGTGAATAACTCTGTTGTTGCGGGTAAGGCAAGTATGTTTTCTAAGTTATGTGAAACAAGAATTTGCAGACATCTGAAAGGGGAGCAATGCCTTCAGTGTTTTGCCAATATGGGGGTTTTCAGGAAACAACAGATAGAATTTCCATATGTTTGAATCTCCACTGAACCCCTACCCTCTTCTCCAAAATACCCAAAACACAGGCTTACTCACAGAAGAGTATATGTGTGTTTGCACTCATGTGTTTTGTTTCCTCAGGTAGCATCCACCCCAGAACTCCAGGATGTCCTCTCCCTTTGGCTGGGAGAAATAGCACAGTCTTCCCTTTGGAGTATGATGGGAATCTGCTCCACGTTCCCCCTCAGTAACCCGGAGATCCCAGGCTTTCCGTGCCAGGCCCAATGAGAACTGTGATGCTAGGCCCCTGCATGCATTTCTACCACCGTTGCTAGAGCCAGGGTTCCCACCAGAGATAAAAGCAAGAATGGGAAAAGTCGAGGCGAGGTAAATGGGTGGGAGAATAACTCCCTGCAGTGCCTAGGCACTTGACTGCTAACCAGAAGGCTGGCGGTTCAAACCCACTCCTCGGAAGGAAGGTTGGGCAATCTACTTCGGTAGTGATACTGCCTCAGCAATCCAAGGAGGGGTTGCTATGAGTCGGGGCTGACTCAAGGGCACATAACAACAACAACAACATGAGGCTGAGGCTGAGGCAGGGCAGAGTAAGGGATATGTTTTCTCTGTTATTTGGAACAACTCCCTGAGTCAACGTTGGACCCTTCAAGGAGAGGAGTTGGGGAGAACCTCAGTTCCAAATACTGCCCCTGGATCAGGCACAATGTTCAGTCACAATACTCCTCTCTGTTCATGTGAACAACCACTTCCTGAGTGCCAAAGCAGCCCCACAGCACAGGACTGAATCAGACATCTATCACCCACAGTCCTCTTCCCTGATAACTTCCCCAGACTCCATGCAGAACACTGGTAGCTTCTTCTCCAAGATTCTACAAAAAATCTGTCATCAGTATTTGGCTCTTGGGCTCCTGGTGAGAAATGAGATGCTCTGTATGGGTTCAGGCACTGGGGTCTTGAGAACATTGTCCAGCCAGTGGAGTTCCCCACCACCATTATAAGAGTGGCTAGCTTCAGTGCCTCTGGGACAGACACCTTCTATCATTCCCATTGCTTCCAGAGGAAAATGGCTTTCGTACATCCTAAGAGAAATCAAATGGAGCTCTGGTACAGTAGTGCCTAAGGCA